TATATATATATATATATATATATATATATATTTCTGCAATATCTTGAATATTGAATGTCATTAAAAGGAAAATGTATATTCCTAAGATATTAAAGATATTTTTCGATTATATCTGAGGGTTGTGCAACCGTGCAATCAGCTAAGCACGAGACATCACTGTTCAGTACGTAATCTGGTCATGCCATGAAGCAAATGTTACAACAAAAGGTCTCAACCACCAGCAGAAACAATTAATGATACTGTTTTGACTGTTGTTAAAGAGCGTATGTCGTTGTTCAGCAATATTTCAGTTATAGAAAAGGACGAATCTTAAAACTTTATTAGGCAATATTTAAACCATTGGTGCTTTCCGCAAGTACTTTCTCGCCCGCATTTTGAACAAAATTACGAAAAGCACTCAATCTTCGAAAAAATGGATCTGATCTTATTTCAAAATTTATCTTTAAGGAACAGATTTCTTTAAGGGAAAAATCTCTATCTAATATTTTAACTGTAGGAAGACTCGGAAAACATTTTTAACTTTTGCAATTTTCGAAAAATTAGGCTTTTCAACGAATATGAGACCTGCACTATTCGAAACGTCCTTCGCAATATCCAACAACAAAAAATAATAAAAAACTATTAATGAAAAATTATTTTGAAAATTTTAAAAATGTCCCGGGGCTTCATATAAAGTACAATGAGTGCGACGTCAGCCAGATCGATTGGGGAATATCACTTTTGGAGAAAATCGGCTGAACGACTTTGCCGCTAGCATTGTTCACTAACGGACAGACGTACGTTTTGCCGTCATTCGAATTGTCGATATCAAGGACCCACAAAACATGGATTCTGGCTACACCGCGTGATATAGGATTTTGCCTAAATTTAGTAACTCGATTTATCCACTTTTTCGTTTCTAGGGCTCTGTAATAAAAGGTTTTCTGCCAAAAATTCGCGCATCATTACATAACATTTTACACGCTTCATTACATTACATTTTTTTCGCGCATCATTACATAACTTCCTCTCTGCTCAGTAGCGAGAAAGTAAAAAGACATATGTAATAATTCATTAATTCAAAATTGATGGAGGTTCTGCAACATATATGTCGGCAAGGAGGGCATAAAATTTAAGCTTCCAGACTGACATCTGTGTTCGAATGTTATCAAAGGCAGCAAACATTATTTTTTCATGTTTTCTTTACAAGTTAAAATCTAGGTAATTTTTTTCTGTTTAAACAATGATTTTGTTATATCCTATGAATTATCATAAATGAAAGAACATAAACCCTAGAACCCATTTGTGTATGTAATTAAAGGCGGCAATTTTTTTCTTCCTTCACACACTATTTATTACAATTTAGATTGAGAATCATTTTCATGAATACATGTTATTTTGATATTCTCTCCATGAAAAAAGAAGATCAAGTGAGTTTTTTTCACTTTCCCTACACTGTCCCCGGGTACATGGGTAAGATGTACCTAGGGACACGTTTTACACAAATTATCTCACAAAGGTAATTATAGAATATTCTTAAAATGATTATTATTTCATATAAATATGCTGAAATGTGTAGCATCCCCAAAAAAAGAAACAACACTGTCATATCTAAAAAAAGAAAAAATTAAAACATGAAAAATGTCCCTAGGTACAACAGTTTTCCCTATGCACATTTTCATTGAAAAAATTGAAGAAATCCATTACGCGTTTCTGAAAATGTGCATCTTGAAGCTCACTTTCACCCTATACGTTCAAATTGTAATAAATATTAACAACGTGAGAGACATTTATACAAAATTTCATTTGTGTATTTTTTGAGAAAGCAAATTAATAAATCAAAGAAGCATCGATGCCACGTTATTCAGAGCATTTAGCACTATCGGTACAAAAAGTTTGAAGAAAAAATTCGGAGTCATTTTCGAGAAAATGACGTTCCAGCTTTTCTGAAAATGCGGAATTTCGAACTCATTCTCATAGAAAACTTTTTAGTTCTCGAGAATCGATGTGACATCATTTGAAATATTGGTTCTTAAAAATCTAATGTTTACAAATTGCCGATAACTAAAAAAACAACAAAAAACGACATGAAAAAGATATCAAAAATATTAGTTTTGTAACTTTTGATAAAGCAAAATAATACAACAAAATGTCGTTAATGTCATCATAAACAGATCATTTAGCATTCTCCCTTCAAAGAGTTTAAAGGAAAAAAAATAACAGTTTTTGAGAAAATGGTTTTATTTGTTTTTTAAATTTTGTCCACATTTTCTAAAAAATATATTTTACTTTAAAACATTAACACGACAATCATTAAAGAACTGACTGTGGAGATCAAATTTAATAAAAAGAAAACATATCCATCTTTAATATTATAATTGTAGGAAGACTGCAAATATATTTCAAAATTTCACAGCTTTTATAAATCCAGAATTAACTGTGAAAATATTACCTGCGCTATCTTTATAAGTGTACACGCTCTATTCTTACAAGAAATAGAAAACATTTGGAATCGTTTTTTAGAAAATTTTGAAAATGTCCCAGGAGTTTCATGCAAAATATTCCCAACAATTAAATAATGTGTGTTAAAAATTGTAGAGCTTTGGGGCGGACAATAACGACATTTGAGTATTCAGTTTGGAAAAATCATATTATTGGTTTAGATGCTAGTGTTTTTTTACAAGTGGTAATTCAGACGGATGGGCGATTTGCCATAAACCAATTTTTTGGTATCAAGGACTAAAAAATAAAGGATTCGACTAAATAATGTGTTGGAGGAAGTAATTTACTAAATAATTTACTAAATAATCTTCTCCCCCATACGTCACATACAGTTAATACCGTTTTTTGACTAAATAAATCTAAATATTGGAACGAGATTTATCCACTTCTTTTGTGCAAGGGCACCATATTTCATTTTTTCTGTCGAAAAATCGCTGTTTTTTGCCGCAGAAAACATCAACGTTCTTGATACTACATTTATTACTCAGTATACAGGTACGAAAAATGTGTCTTGAGTATTATAATCGTAGTTGTAGAAGAACGCCTGAAATTTGTGAACTTTTGCAATTTTCTAAAAATCATGGATTTAAACGAAAATGAGACCACGGTCATTTCTTTAAGAGTTTTTCACGATCTCCGAGGACAAAGTTTACTCCAAAGATTTGGAGCTATTTTTGAGAAAATTTTGACAATGTTGTTGAAGCTTCATGTAAAGTACACCCCAAACCAATATATGCATTTCAGACTCGCAAGACCTCGAGTTTGATCTAGAGCCTTGTACAGTCATAATTCACTCTTCTAGTATTATTTCACTTCCCTTAGGAATAACTCCTGGTCCATTAATACAGCTTCTTCACAGGCTTCGTCCACGTCCAGCTGCATCTCGTCCTCCACACTCAAAATACGATTATAATATCTAAATTTAACTTTAAAATTGAAATTTCGTTAAGTATACATTTGTTTCAAAATTGCTAACTTAATGCCATTAATATTACGAGTTTAACATTCAAATTCCTCTATTAAAAATTAACATCATAGCTCGGAGCTCTTCACGACGCCACGCGTCCATTCTGCCTCGCCTCGCTGTTATAATATCAGTACTCTTGAATATCCATGTTTTTATGACTCGCAGAAATAGTTCACATTAACACACGTTAAATTAAAGTTTTTAATTATTATTTCGTCCTCACTTTTCACAACTAGACTCAAATTTTTCCTTTATTTAGTAATTTCTAATGTTCTCAAACATCGTGGATTTCTATTTTTTATTTCAATCGTTCATATGTTCTTGCGTAGCATTACTATGTCCTTATTTGAAACTCATGTGTCGTCATCCTCGTCATCCTTCTCCCCTCCTCTCTTCATTCTTCTCCTCCCACACTTACTCTAATCTTTCCCTTTCCTTTCCTCACACTCTCCTCCTGTCTTCCCCACCTTTCACCCGCTCTTCTTTTCCTTCGCTCACCCTCTCCCTCTTCCTCTTCCCCTATTCCTACCCTCTCTCTCTTCTCCAAACGCTCTCATTCCAACCTCCATTCTACATCCCTCACCTCCTACTTCTCTTGATCAAGTTCGAAACGTTTAACTTAAAAATATAAATTAATCCATTTCTTGGCATTGCTCCCAAAATGGGAGTCTAAATTTTGCTGTTTAGAAAATATGTTTTGGAAGGTTTCCCACATATAACGTTACAAAAGAGCGTAAATTAAACTATAGAACCAAACATAACACCACTATCATCACCACATTAAGTGGAACAGATAAGTGTTAAATATAAGAATATACCAATAGTTTAGACCGTTTAAACAATATTAATCAGAACTACCGAGCACTTGGAAGTTTATACAATAATGTATGGAATTCATGTTTTTACTTTTCCCTGCACTGTAGAGAGAAAATATTGGAATAGTCTCAACAATACGATTTCGAATTTTCAGTCGAAATATCCCATTAATGTTCTTTTGAACAGTTACTTCCCACATAAATCAGAATTAATATGTATTAGTGTCGTTTCAAACATTGTTGACTTTGGTGTTAGTGGCTAGGTCATACATACAATTTGATAAGAGAGAG